TGTCAAATGCAAATTGAAAAATCATCGAACGGCCCTGGCTGCAGACGAAGCTCGTCCAACAAACAGCATTTGGCTGCCGGAAGCGCTTTGCTGCCGCCCCAAACTAATATTGAGGCAGGCGCGCAGCAAACTGTTTCCGTTCAAGGGCACTGAAGGGAGGGGAGGCCACTGCGCACAAGAACTGGAACAGGAACTGGGAGCTGGAGATGGGAGATGGGAGTCAGAGCAAGTGCCTTGAGCGGCAGCAAGCGGCGCACTTTTTTTGGCACGCAAGAGCGTACACGGTTTTGGCAGCGATGCTCCCTCTAGTCCCTTCCTTTTGCTGCTGCTGCTGCTGCTAGTGCTGTTGTTGCCGCCATTGCCAAAAGTCACTTGTTAAACAGCGGAAACGGAAATGCCAACAGTCGCACAAAGGCAGCAGCGGGCTTAGGGCACAGAGGATGGAGCATGGAGGTGGTACGGCACGGCTGAGTGGCAACATTTTGAAAAGTGTAAATCAAACTAATTGAATGTTTTTGCCGAGCGCACAGCCGGTGCCAAAGCTACAGAGGCGACACGCCCCGATAAACATGCAGGCAGCCCAAAAAAAATGAGAGATGATAATACCCAAGTCCAATGCTGCGATGATAAGAAATGCCAATCCATTTACTGCACAGGCTTCGGGGCGCTCTTTGACATGCCGCATCCATATGCATCAAAATATTGCACATACGCCATGCGTGCGGCTCTAATTAGCCATGGAACCCCGTTGAGCGCACCCTTCAAATGATTTTGAAATGGGATTGAAAGCAGCCATCTTTAACCGCCGTAAACAGGTGAATAAATAAACGCAGAACTCTTTCAATCTGGCGGTGCAATCGGCAAAGCAAATGAGGTTAATAGATCCACAACTAAATGAAAAGGGTGAGTTCCGTGTCCCTTGCTGCCCCGCGGCACCTTGCATTTGTCTGTGGCAGCAAATTGCAGTTAATTTAATGAGCATTTTAGCCATAAAATCACTTGGCACGGCTCAATAGCCACGATGCTGGCAGCTGGCACAATTTATTTGACTGTTAATTAGAAATTTAAATTATGCGCTTAGCCTCTGCCCTCAGAGCCGCACAGCCCAACAGCTCCACTCTATACACCAGACCTCCTTCTCGCTTCTCCATTCTCCATTCAATTGGCGCTGCACAAAATTAATTGCAGGCAATGGCGGGTCGTATCCCCTTTCATCCCATGGAGCCTCTGGAGCCGGAGCCCCGTTTGCGCCATGGCAAATTCGAAATAATTTATAATTTGGCACAATTACGCTCAGCCGCAGGCTTGCAGCGACTTGCTTGCTCCTTGCCACAGGCCTGGCCCATGAACTGCTCTGGTTTTCCACTGGCTCTGCTGGCTGGGGTACTTGGACTGAGGGTTATATGGGTCATTTGACTTCCAATTGCATTTTATTGATTTCTCCCTTGTCTGAGGATGCGTTCTGGCGTTCTGGCGTGGGGGGCTGGCGAAGGAAGATGTAATAAACTTTCACTTGTTTTGTCGCCTGTCGCCCTGCCAATGGGAAAGCGGAAATCAGTGGGCGCCGTGGGGCATCGCAGGCGATTCTACTCTGTCCAGTGGTAAACACATTGCTCATAGCCAAACATTTGGCACACTGCCCCAGCCCCAGTCCCAGCCCCAGCCCCAGAACCAGCCGCAGAGCCAGCTGCAGTGCCAGAGTCCATAGTCCATAGTCCAGAGTCCTGGCCGGGATTGTCAAGTGGTTTTTGGCTCGGGTCCGAGATTTGGCTCTGCTTTTGTGATTTCTTTTCTCCGGGTCCATTGTTTGCCCCAAAAATTGGGTCAATAGCCTTGTGGGTGGGAGGGGAGTGTTGATGGTGTTGCTGCTGTTGCTGCTGTTGCTTCTCTTTGGGAGGATGACGATGATGATGATGAGCAGCAGCCTGTGCCAGCAGACTCCTTCCTCTCAGCTATTGTTTCAACTCCTGTGCATGTAATTTCCTCTCTATGCAACTCCCCCCCGGTCCTGCCACGGCCGACGGCGACTCCTCAACTTTTGTTGCTGCCACACTGATTACTGTTGCTTGTTAGTGCGTTTGGCTGTGCGGTTTTTATGCTCGTTTACATGCATGCATGCATGTATTTGTGTCCGTTGATATCTGTGCGCTTGTGTGCTATACTTTTGCCAAAAATACATACACTGCTTGCTTACCCGGGAAGAGGGTATAACGATTCTGCTCAGATGTTTGCAACGCCATGAAGGAAGTTTCACCGATCCTGCACTCACGATATATAGATTATATATAGATTATATATATGTGAGATAAATCGCATAGCTGCCATGGATACATCAGACCTCAAAGGGTATCAGAACCTTCATACCCTGCATGTCAGCCGTCCTCCCTTGTTTTAGCTTAATTTGCAACTTGTTAGCTGCCAGCAAAACAGTCCCATCCCCCTTCCTGCCTTCGTGCTGCCGTCAAAAGCTCATGTGCAAACAAATCAAACTTGAAACTGAAGCTTGGCCCAAAACATTTCGCAATAATGAGGCAGGACTCCAGGGCCAAAAGGAAAACTTCCACCCTAACAAGGCAACAAGTGGAATGCCATCCCCCCATGCCCCATTCCGCCTTTGTGGCATGGAATCAGCTTTAAGCTGCAGCTATCTGCAGCCTTCACAATCTGCTTAGACTGCCTAAGATAAAGACAGGACAGGACAGGACAAGGCAGCGCTTGCCAGTGTTTGCCGATTCTTTTCATCTGGATGAGAGACAAAGATCTGCTGGCAGTCACCGACACCCCCTCCCCACACTCGAAGCCCAATTCAATTCTCTGCGGCAGAGACTGGAGCCGTTGTTTAAAATGCGTAACCATATCCCATGAATTTATGCAGTCAACTGTATAAAAGGCGTAAAAATGTCCAAAGACCATCAGGAAGCGGGTTCTGGGATCTTTGGTGTCTTTGGTAGCGAGACCTTGTGAGCGGCGTGAGTGGGGAGTGGAGTCTCCGCTGACTCGCTGTCCGCTACCCCACACACTGTCTCCGTCTCCATGTTCGCCTTCGACTTTGGCTTCGAGCAGCTGCAGCAGTTTGTCTTGCCAATTGGCCGACTCTTCGCTCTGTTCGCATTATTGTAATTCAGCCTCAGCTCTCGGTTTTAAATTGTTTGGAAGCAATAAAAAGTTTATCAAGTGTAAGGCTGAAAAAATAGCGAAAGCTGCGCAGGCAGCGGCAGCCCTTGACTTTTGGCACTCAGTGTTAATTGTTTTGGGTCAAGCTTTAAGTTTTGCGAAAACACACACACACACAACAAAAAGAGAGAGCGAGGTCGGAAATGGTGCCACATTTCAAAGACCTGGCAGCGTAAGCTCTTAGGGCTTTATTCAAGGCAAAAGTAATACAAAACAATGGCCTCTGCCACACACTCACACACAAATAAACACACACACCAGAGAGAGTGAGAGAGAGAGAGAGTGAGAGAGAAAGCGAGTCACACAGCAAATAAATCAATTGGCTTTGCCTAAAACGTTTGAAATTGATTTCAAGTTCTTCGGCCGCATTGTTTTTATATGCAACAAAGGGACAATTTTTCATTTGCAACGACAACAATAAAAGCAACAGCAAGGTCTCATTCACACAGACACACCCACACATACACACACAGCCCCCCCACACACTGATCCACAATACAGAAAGGACACACACACACACATGCGATGCGGTCGATCCCTGGGCATGTAAATTGGCCGCATTGTTTATGAGCTCTGTCCCCGGCCAGGCTCTGGGTCTGGCTCTGGCCACTCCTCTCCTCTGCTCTGCTGCCCCTACCCTAGGCCAGAGCCCATGCCACCATCTCCCAGAGACCATTGATTGTCAATTCAGTTTAAGCGCCAGCCATAAATTCTGCAAATGAGCAGAGGCGGTCCATCGGCCCATCGGTCCGGCAGTAGACGCAGCCACCATTCTTCTTTATTTAGTGAATTTAGTGAAATGCACAAAAAACGAGGCGTGAGGCTTGGGGGCGACATACCCACGTTGAGATTTTAAGTAAAAAAAACTGCACGTATTACCACCATCTACATCTAAAATGTAGTTTGTCAAGTACCATTAGATCTCCCCCGCTGGGGTTGCCACGATTGCCTTTGTGGGGGGGGGGGGGGACACCGAGTGTGGAAATCAATGGCCGCTGCGGCCGCGGCACGGCAGCGGCGCGGCCGGCGGCGCGGCGGGGCGCGGGGGGCCCCCGGCGGTTAAAAACAATTTTCAAATTGCTGGGCAAGTCACACACACACGGGCGAATGGGGAATACGAGTGATATACGTAGATTGAAAACCTCGGAGTGCAGTGAGGGTTGGGTATATTTATAGAATCTAAACATGGATTACGAATATCATTAATGGTTCATCTTAAAGGTGAGAATTATTTGGAGTCTGGACAGGCAGATGTCAGATATCTTGACACCCAGACAGACTTCCAGCGGATGTTTATTAAAGATAGAAGTCTGAACCCCTTATATCCTTGAAACATCATGGAAATGCTGAAATAATCCTAGCTAAACATCCACAGGTAGAAATCGTTCCACTTAAAGTTTATTGCTAGACAAACGCTTTATAAATCTTTAACGCCTCTGTTATTATTTAACTCCTCGCTCTTTCCTCCATTATTGACTGAAGACTTTTGCTGTGTAGTGTGCTAAGCGTTTTGTTTTCTCCGTCGAAAAGTTTATCAAAGTTTTTCCCGGGGTGCTCGCAGTTCACTGGCCAACTTTCAATGAACTGGCGTCAGAAGCTATCGCATTGCACTTGCCCTGTTTATTTGTTTGGCGCGTGTTTGGTCATTAGATCCGACACCTGGTCAACAGGCTGCCTGTTCCAGCTGTCAACTGGCTGTCGCTCGTGTTTGCCGTTTGCTTGGCACAACATTTTGATTACGCATACGCCGTGTGGACCGAAGCGATGCTTCCGGCTTTGACAGGCGCATCAAATATGCCATAAATAAAGGTAAGCTGGCAGCCATCGCCAGTCGATGGACGATGCATTCGTCAGTTGTTTGTCTGCTGGGGCTTTGGTTGTCCCTCGGACGGGGCGTTGCTGCTGCTTCTGGTTCGGGGATTCCAAACTGCAAAGGCTGCAGAATGAATGTGATATATCCAGCAGCTGCGGGTGAAACAAGGCATCCGATTCCCTTGAACCAGCGGATCGTGCGCGTTATAAACCACTACAAACGCCTCAGCCTGGAGCAGCTGCAGCAACGCGCCCCCAGGAGGAGGCATGACCCACAGCCAGACGATTTCAGCTTCATAGTTAAGATTGTGGTTCAGAGCTCCGTTCGATGCAGTGGGGCCCTGTTGGCGCCAAGGCTAGTGATCAGCTCCAGCAGCTGCCTGAGCGGAGTTCCTCCCAGTCAGGTGCAGATCCTCACCAGCGGCGGCAGAACTCACCCAGCGGCTAAGCTTGAGTGGCCACGATCCTGCCCCGAGCTTATCCTAATCACATTGCGGACTGCAGCCCCGGGGAAGCCCATTGGTCTATGCTCCCAGACCCTAAAGAGGGGCGGCAACGCCTCCATGCTGATGGCCAGCAACGATCTCAGCTACTTCGGACGCAGGCACAGCCAGGTCGTCCCCAATCGGGCCTGCAAGGTGACCTTTTTGCAGGAGGAGACTGTCTACATCACGCCCAATATGCTGTGCCTGCGCAACTCGCGGAACCCAGACAAGTGCGTGACGGAGCAGGGAGATGCCCTGTTGGTGGGCCGCAAGTTGTGCGGATTGAATGTCTATGGATCCCGCTGTCGGGCAGACTCCCTGAACGCCGATCTCTATATGGATCTGGCGAGACTTCGAACGCTCATTTCCCACGTCATACAGAAGCTTAGCTGAGAAATTGAGGCGTGAGAAATTGAAATTTGAATGCCATAAAATAATTCTGTATGCGTCCAGTCTTTGGGCTACGAAACGGTTCAGCACTCTCATCATAATGATGCTGATAGGCCTGCTGCCCGTACTCTGCTGGACCTCAGTGACAGCCAACCAGGCGGCCATGCCCATTCCCCAGTTTATGGTGGGAGACGTGCCGGCCAAGGGACAGCCCTACCAGATAGTGCGCATCATCGAGTACTTGGTGCCGCATCCCTACAAGCCGCCAGCTGGAAGTTCTAAGAACAGAGCCGGGGCGGACAGTCTGGAGATCATTGCGCCCCACTTGGAGAGTCAGATGAACAGGCAGCACGTCACAAACGAAGCTCACCACGGGGAGCGGACGATCTTCAACGAGAGCGACAACGAGAGCTTTGCCACAGCAAAGCCAGCAGTGTCCTCTAATTTCATAGTTAAGATATACCCGATGTTGGGGGTAGTCTGCACTGGAGCCCTGATCTCCCACCGCCTGGTGCTGACCGCTGCGCAGTGCTTTCCGGCCAATCACAGCCCCATGCCGGAGCACTATATGGTGCAGGTCACCAAGTTTGGAATGTATGAGGTGGAGCTCATACTGGTCGGACCCTCCTCGCAACTGGACCCACATATGGCTCTGATGGTGCTACGGACGTCCATCGTGGAAATCGAAGCCAAGCCGGTCGCCCTTTGCGATGCTCCACCCAGGCGGGGGGACAGTGTCATCATGTACATGTCGCAGCAGCTGCCGCGCTTCCTGCGCACCCAAATCGTCCCCAAACGGGTCTGCAGGAACACCTTCGCCAACCTAGATGCCGCCTACATCACGGAGAAGATGCTTTGCGCCCACAACACGAACAAGCGTGAGGATTGCCAGACGACCAAGGGGGATCCGCTGGTGCACCGGGAGCGGCTCTGTGGCATCAACATCCACGGACCGCGCTGCCTGGACGGAGCCATAAATGGGGATCTCTATGCGAATGTTTTCAAGGCCAAGCAGCATCTGCTGACCATGATCGAGCGCTACAGCTAAAGGGCTTTAAAGATGCGAAAACCCCACAACCAAATTAAATTTATTGGGCATGTGCCCCGCATGTATGCGGATGCCCAAATCAAATCAATGTCACTAACCAAACACGCAAAATCGAATGGGAAAAAAAGCTGGAAAATTGGGAGGGGACAACGCCTCCTTTTGTTAGTCGCTGGGAAAATTGAAAGGCGCTGCCGACAAAAATCAGACAAAACGTTTTTTTAAAATTTTTATTATTTTCTTTCAATTTGTGGCTAAAAAAAATTAAACTTCAACCATCAAAATGCCCTGAACTCCAATGACTATGATGTATGTAAATTTGCGTGGAAAAAACGTCAGAAAAACGGGGCAAAAAAAAAGGGATAGCAGACACAAACAATAGCAAAACCACTAAAAACATCATGACAGGGAAAAGGTGTTACTCTTGGCTGGAAATTTACACCACACACGAGTACATAGCAGAGGCAGGAAGAGAATGATAGGCAGGGAATGGGGGGTGGGGGAAACACCCCCGAAGCTGCACCATCGGCCATGGCTCTGACTCTGTCTCTGACTCTGGCCGTGCGCTAAAATATGCAATTTTGTCATGAAATATGCACATGTCCGGCGTTCGGCAAGGACGACCCACCTCCAGAAACACCACCCACATGACTAGCAACAAAATACATTTAAAAGCAACATATAACTCGTACTCGTACATACATAAATAAATTAAACATTTAAAAAACCAAACGGGAATAATGAAAGGAGTGCAAAAATGTCTGGGGCACTACGAATCAGCGAATCCGCTTTAAGGAACTTTTCATTAAATGTATATCCGATATACACACCGATGTATTTTATCTGTGTGTGTAATTCATATTCATTATTTATCAGGGCACATACGACGATTTGCTGACTCCATTTCTCTGTCAATAGAATCAAGATGATTCTTTTCGAGCTCTGCAGAGCATTTAAGTCAGCAGCCTGGCCGGGTCCCAGGGCGGGCCTTGCCACGCCCACCGTTTGACATTAAAATGCAGTGAAGCCTGTCGAAAATGTTGCCAGCAAACATCAACGCGAACAACTAAATTTATGTACATAGAAATTAATATTAAAGAACAACCAAACAACATGGTTTTGCAGCTTCTTTTTTTTGGCACACATAAAAAGGATTTACTCTCTCTCTCTCTCTCTCTCTCTCTCTCCCTCTCTATGTTGTTTAAATATTATTAAAACTTTCAGCTTTCGCAATCGTGTGATGATGAAAAACAATAAAACAATAAAAGAAATGTTTTCCATTTGAGATGAAAATTAAATCCCCAGAGCTATTGCCACCCCTTCCGCAAAACCACCCCCTGCGACCTACCACAAATATTTATTTGTTTGACAATTTTTATTGCCTCCTTTCAGGCGGCTGACGCTTCCGCCTGTGCAGGAAAAAGTTATCGTGAAAAAATTCAAAAGGCGTTAAAATGATTTCGGGAAACTTTCGCCTTACGTGACTTTATCCCGAACGGCGACCACCACTCGCCGGGCCTACATATTGTGCCATTTCCGAGGCAGACGACCACGACGACTGAATCAAATAGGTGGCCTAAACAGCAGCGACAGCCACAATAGCGGGGACAGCGGCAGATTCAGAGGCAGAGGCAGATGCTGGGTATAAAATAAAAGTTTTCCACTTAAGGTTTATGAAAAGTTTAAACCCACACGCCCAAGGGGCGGGGGAGGGGCTCGCACACATTCACACCTACCGGTGGGAAATGGTCGATGGAGGGTCCACGAGATGCGGAAACGGAAACTACGGTCGAAAAATGATGGATACCCAAGGCCCGCCCGTGCCACGCGCACCGCCACGCGTCTCTTCGATCCCTCGCCAATACAAAACACACTCCAGAGAACAGCCCGGCAATGGCCATTATATTCTCGGACACTGCCGAAGATTTCTCTCAATAAGAAAGCGGCCGGCCACCCGACCCCCCACCAACAACCAGACCATAACCACTTAGGGCGCCCGAAGTTTTGCTTGAGGCTGGGCAAACTCCCCGAATGCAAATAATAATGTAATTGCCAGCAATTTTCCTCAAGTCTGTTTACCTTTCGCTTCAGCTTTGTTAAACTTTTATGAGATTTTGACTGAATTTGAGAGCATTTACACCTGCCCTGCCCTGCCCTGCCAAATGACAAATGAGCAAATGAATTGAACGGAGACCCCACCCAAATTAATGCTGCGGCTGAAACTGAGACTAAAACTCAGGCTAAGACGCAATTTAAAATCGGTTTGGCTAATTGCATGTCGACGAGAATGGATGCGGATGCGGCCCTCTAATTAAGTGCAAGTCAGGCAAATCGCTTAATTAGCACTGACAATCTAAGCGGACGAACGGACCACTGAAAAGGATATGCAATTTGCACGGACAGGACAGCACAGCACAGGACACTTGATACACCACTGGAGCCGGAGCTGGAGCTGTACTGGGCAGGGTAATGGCAGTGGTCGGACCGAGCGGCTTAATGCGTTATTAATTAGCTGCATGCGAGTGGCCTGCCCCTTCAATAGTGGCATTATGATGAGTGCACCGCGCGAAAAAGATGGGGCTTTGTTTGCAGCATTTGCATAAATGAAAGTACAATAAAATGCACCTCGCGCTCCCGTCAGTGGAGGCTCCTGGCTAAGTGCTAGGCTGGAGTACGTTTAGCGAGGGCCACCACGTGCCTTGCCTTGCAACGTGCCACCAAGGCCAGCCACGTCGGCCCCTGACTTTACATAGATTTAGGAGTACATTTTTCTTGCGAGCGCACAGCAAATCGCAAGTCGCACAGCACCCACCACGCACCACACACACTCCACAAAGGGGGTGGCTATGGCTACGTGCCACACAGCGCCCACTGTCACCGTGGCACTGTTGGCTCTTTTGTATGCCACATGTGTCCACGAGGCACACATACTCGTACGAGTATTCGTATGTATTTATTTGAGCCGCGCATAATGAGTGTTATTTATATTTAAGCAGCTGCAAAGGAGACACAAATCGTAAATAAAGCGTTTTAATTTATTAGCCAAATGATAATTTGCCCAACTTGGCCCCCAAAAAAAAAAGGGAACCAATAAAAATGCCATGATAGTGGGAAGAGGACAGATACTCCCATCCCCATCCCCCCTCACATGACAATCAATCAAATTAGCCGAGAGCCCAAGGTCGTGTGGCAAGTGCCTGAATTGATTCGAGAGCCCTGGGGCAAGGTCAGCTCAGCCTTTGACTGCTGAGGCAGAAGAAGGAACAGGGACTGCCAGACGGATTCAGTTAGAGCAGGCGTACAAATATAATTGACCAAAATGAAAAACTAATTGAGTAGAAGTGGGGAAGAGCGGCGCAAAGTGGGGGCGGGCCCTAAGTTAAATTCGGGTCAGCCTGCAGCCATAGACAGCCAATGGCACTGAGCGCAAGCCGATACACCTGTTACACATCTTCTTTCAACCAGAACCAGAAACAGACGCAGAACCCTCTGGAGGTGTCTCCTCAGATTCTTTTTGCCGTTTCTTGTGTGGGTGGGGTGTGGGGTGAGGGTGTGTGTGCCTGCAGCTTCAATATCCATTAGGGCTTAGCTTTCCACTCTGCTTCCCGCTCTTCGGTTTCTTTCTGGTGCTTCACAAAGCGTATTATGATAATTGGAAATTATATATAAAAATGATGACTTAGCGGCCGAGGAGGGCCTAGAGACAATCATCTCTGGCCAAACTAGCATTTCTGCCGCACTAATCTGATTATTAATGGCATAAGTATAAGCATGGGACGCATAAGCATAAGCATAAGAAAGATGGAGCAGAACAAGACGTAATTGAAAACTAATTCAATCAATTAAAGTTAAACTCCCCAGCACACGTGCCACTGGACTGGACTGGGATGGAATGGAATGGGCTGGTGGAGGCGGTAGTGCAGAGTCGAGAAATCAGATCTTGGCGCTGTTGCAAATGTCGATACTTATAAATGGAACTGCATGTCTGGAGACAGCGCAGATAGCGCAAGGGGTACTGCCACTGACTGATGAGTTCAATCAAGTTGTAAACATGATTTCGCATTCTATTAATGTGCCCTCCTCAGTGCTGCTATTCTCAGTAACTCAATACAACACAATCAACAGCGTTTTAGAGTTCATTTGGCGAGGGGTTGGGGGTTGGGGGGGGTGCTGACGATACTGCTACGATATAAAAAGGGAAATCAAATCATAAAAAATAATATGCCGCTTTGTAGCAGTCCGTGGGGGTGCCAGGAGGGACGCAACAGGATTTCCTGCATGTATGTATGTGTCTGGCTCTAGGGAGGAAACTGAAACGAAGGGCTATCGCTGTCAGCCGAAGCTTAAGATACCCTCAAATGTCTGTAGCTTCATAAATCCCGTACACTTGACTCCTCTGTCCATATACCAGTATTAACAATAAATTCACTCTTCTCTGGAAATTCATAATACCCTCTTTAAGGGTACACAAAACAGAATAAAAAAAATAAAAATAAAAATAAAAAGAAGGAGATGGAGAATCAACATCGAGAAGCCCTTACCTTTGGCATGCAAACGGAGCCCCAACCAATCCCTGGTCCCTGCCCGTTTGCTCGACTTCAAATTGATGCAATTTATGAAAAACTTTTGTGCGCTCAATTGCAAATACAAGTGTACCGGAGTACAATCTCTGTCATTTTTATGCACTTCCCCTAGTTATGCCAAAGCAATTTCTCTCTTTTGGCAAGTTTGCTTTCGTTTTCGCCTCAGTTCTCGTATCTTGATTTTCTGTCCTTTTCGCATTTTTTTTTTTTTTGCAGGACCCCCCACCACCCTGCACTTTTTGGCATTCGTGCATTGTGCGGCAAATTAAGCGCATTGCAAGTGATTTGATTTGCTTTCATATAGAAAATGCTTCAAATTTCATTTGCCATTCCGGCAATTACTTTAAAGTTGCCCTGAATCGAGTGACGGGTGCCCGGTGGGGGAAGGGGGAGCTGGGCGCTGGGACTTTGGGTCTCGGGAGCTGAAACCTGGGAGCAATACGAATGCGAACGAAAAGTAATTCCCAGCTAATGACTGTCATTTGTATCTGGAAATGAAATGTGCGCCACTCCTGACGGCGTTTATTTATTTTTATGGCAAGACTCTCAACCAAGGCGCAACCAGGGGGCACAGCGCGTGTCTGTAATTACACTCAAACATTCAAAAGTTCCCCCAAGAATTATGGCATTTAATAAGTTTGAGTGTAAGTGCGAGTGCGAGTACGAGTGCAGCAATGTGCCGCCAGCCACTCGATGCCTCAAAGCAGCTG